GTAAACAATCCTACGGAGCTGCCAGTCGTATAAAAGTATAGCATATAAAGTTACATACAGTACATAACACCTTTCTTCCCCCACCAGTCCTGTCTTAAACAGTACATACAACTTGATAATGATGATGAATGACTATGGCTGGTTTGTGCATTTATTACATTATACTTTGGCTATTTAGAGTTTTATAAAACAGTATGCTGTTACGTTAGCAGTAGCCTCATACATCTTGGTTGACGTGTCTCTTGATTGGATCCTTTTTGCTTATGTTTGATTTACTCTCATGTTGCTTCGTGTAGTAATGAACTGTGCAGACTTGTAGCCTAGGAGTAATAATGGGCCATGCCATACAGCCAAGTGTGTAGTAGGACCTACCATCTAGGTTTGTGTAAGAGCACTCTCTATGATGTTTATGCAATGATAAAATCACCTAAAGACAACATTTCTCAGAACATATCCCTTTGTTAAGCATGGCTATACTCTAGTACTTCCACACCAGGGCAGCTTTAACCCTGACTTTGAACTGCATGGCATTGCCAGTCTTCCTCCATTTTACCCCATTTCACTTCCCTCCTCCCCTGTTCTCTGACTTGGTTGGGGCCTTGGTTCCCAAGCCAATAGGTAAACAGGAGACAGTATCTCTGAGTCACTTTTAGTACCTCCCTCCCCACACCTTCAAATTCTATCTCCTCCTCCCTGGAATCTCCTCTCCTTTCCATTCTTTTTTATTTTTATTTTTTATAAAATATATTTTATTGATTTTTTACAGAGAGGAGAAGAGAGGGATAGAGAGCTAGAAACATCGATGAGAGAGAAACATCGACCAGCTGCCTCCTGCACAACCCCTACTGGGGATGTGCCTGCAACCAATGTACATGCCCTTGACCGGAATCCAACCTGGAACCTTTCAGTCCGCAGACCGACGCTCTACCACTGAGCCAAACCGGTTTCAGCTCCTTTCCATTCTTGATGCAATTGCTCTAGGTCAGGACTCATCATTTCTTGCCTAAATGAATCTAATTATCTTTTAACTAATCTCCCTACCTCCAAAGTGCTACCATGTTCCCCCGAAAATAAGACATCCTCCGAAAATAAGACCTACTTACAGGTTTCCTTCTGAGTGAAATATAAGGCATCCCCCGAAAATAAGCCCCCCCAGGCTAAACATGAGAGATTTGGTCCACTGATTCTGAAAGAAATGGAGTCACAAGAAATTCACCAGGAAATTCAGGAATTGGATTGTTATGATGATGTTCCAGAAGATGATGACATGATTGTCATTGAATAAATCAGTAAATTCTTGATACTGCAGGATTCAGTTTGTCTGGTTTGTGTTGACAACTACCGTACTACTGTATCATATACAGGTAATAAATTTTCTTTATTTTCATTTAACAATAAATGTGTACCGTATTTTTCTTCATGGAAAAATAAGACATCCCCTGAAAATAAAACCTAGCACATCTTTGGGAGCAAAAATTAATATAAGACACTGTCTTATTTTTGGGGAAATGGTACTTTTAAAACACTGAGCTGACTACCTCACTCGTCTCAGAACTTCTGACTCTATTGCCCACTGAATAAAGGTAAAACTTCTCAGCAGGCATTTGGGGTTCCCCTTTGCTCTCATCTTTTTTTTTTTTTTTTTTTAATAATTATTTTTATTGATTTCAGAGAGGGAAAGGGAGAGAGATAGAAACATCAATGATGAGAGAGTATCATTGATCGGCTGCCTCTTGCACGCCCCCTACGGGGGGATCGAGCCTGCAACCTAGGCATGTACCCTTGACCAGAATCGAACCAAGGACCCTTCAATCCGCAGGCTCACACTCTATCCACTGAGCCAAACCAGTAGGGCGCCCCATGCTCTCATCTTAACCTCAATTTCTTCTACCTCGTCTTCCATGGAACTATTCCTTAAACTCACGTGTATCTTTACACTTTTAGGGTTATGCTCATTTTCTTTTGTCATTCTAAAAGACAAAAACTGGTGTGGCTCCCTCTTCTCCATTTTGCCAATGATCAAACTATTAATCTTTTTCAAGGCCTAATTCAAATATCATTTCCTTAATAAAAGCATTCCCAATAATTTGAGTTGGAATTATTTCCCTCCTTTGTATTTTCACCTTATATCATTTTCATAACAGGTATAACTATCACCACAATGATAATACAGAGTACAATTAACCCTTGAACAACATGGCAGTTAGAGGTGCCAGTGCAATGCAAAATTTGTGTAGTTACTGTATTTCCATCACACAAAGTTCCTTTCTGTCTCTTTGTAGATAGTTCCTTCCTCCCACTTCTAGTTCATGGCAATTATGGATTTAATTTCTGTCCCTACACACCTCATATAATTTAATCTAATTTTTTTTATTAGTTCTTCACCCTTGTATTCCTCATGGTTCCAAGCACAAGTTCCAAACACATTTATTATGTGTCTCTGCCGCACCAGCACAGCCAAGGTTCCGGGAGCCTGAGCCGGAGGGGGGACGAAGGATGGAGAAATGATGACAAAGAGAAAAAGCAGGATTTACGTAACTTGATCTTCTGTGCCTTGCTGAGGCCACAGAACAGATCCAGACTGCAAAGCTGATGCTTTATTGTCAGGGACAAACAAGGTAATTTACAGTGTTCTTGTAAGTTTCACTTGTTTTGGTAGCACCTGCTGCCCCTTCCACAGCCCACTAGCTACTCAGAAAAAATCTAGGGAGCAGTCACAAGATCAAGCTTAATTATGCTGAGAGGACTGTGCCCTCCAAGCTGGGACTTGTTTGCAACTTTGCCAGCAGGTCAGTCCGAGGCTTAACCTTATAACCACTTCCTACATGTGTCAGGTTGTAGCTATTTGATAAAAGAAAAAGGGAATAAAATGAAAAGGAAAGAAGAAAGGAAGACCCAAGAACAAATGGACAAATGAAAAGGAAAGAAGAAAGGAAGAAAAGAATGACCCCAAGAACAAATGAACATCGCTCTAAAGAGTTCTTGTTCACCAATAGGGCAACCAACAGGGCTCATGCTAGTTTAATGAATGATTCTGAGTTATTAATCTGAAGTATAAAAGTAGCTACTCAAACATCTAGACTAGGGGTGTCGAACTCAATCAGGGAAGGGGCCAAAATCTAAAATCCAGCCTAAATTGCGGGCCGAATGGTTTACTGAACAGTCATAAACTGTCATTGTGATGGAAACGCAGCGGAGTGCAGTGATGACAGCATGGTGCGGGCCACATTGCAAGGCCTGGCGGGACGGATTTGGCCCGCGGGCCTTGTGTTTGACACATGTGATCTAGACTTAAGCTGCCATTGATCTCTTTGCATATGACAACACTGTAAGGTCTGAGGTGTTCTATCCTTAGTATGCAGCAAGTACACTTAGAAGTTTCAGGGAAGTTAAGGGAAGGGAAAAGTAATTCTTTTACCAAGTGCCCCCACAGCCTTTGTGTGATATGCTTTATTATTCCCTTTGATCCCTGCTCTGATCTTGTTTTAATCTAATTCTTACAACTACATTCTCAGGTAAGTTAAAAGTTATTAGGAGGTATTTCTTTGTTGGGAAAGGAAATAGACAATTAAAGGAAATTTAGGGGTATACCTCCAAGGGGAGGGGCAGGTTAAAAATTGTATTTTGGGGTCAGGATGAGTTCTTCAGAGATTTTTCTGAGTGTTCCATTTGTGAAAGTACAATATATAAGAAAGGACAGGAGACTGGGGTAATCAACACTTTTTGAAGTCTATCATTGATCCATTCAGGGTGCTTCTGGTGGAATTTAGGGTTAAGGAGTGTAGTTGGTAAATGGGTAAAAATAAGAACAGCCTTCTTTCCTTATTTTGGCGTCACAGGAATTTAAAGTTATTTTGCAATCACTCTTGGGATATCATTTCCTTGGTTCTTAGAACAAGTTGGAAGATAAACTTTGGACAATATATTGTACTATGCCCTTTGTAATGAAATAACCCAAGATAGTATGTTAAAGTTTAGTGATTTAAATTCCCGAGCTGATCAAAGAGAGCTGTTAAGATCAAAATACGTGTTAGTCCTACTCCTGGAGTTTCAACTAAAAATAAGTACAACTCAATTTGAAGGCTGAGGCCGGGACAGGAACATCTTGCGATTTTTGTCAGTTCCGTGTCCCGTCCACGGCCTGTGAAGCCATTAAAAGTTGTGGAGTCTGATGGGAGCGCTGTTCCAGGAGGATCAATCTGGCTGTGCGTGTGGAGACGGCCTGGGGCAGAGAAGACAGAAGTAGCCCGGCTACTTGGAGGTGACTGCAGTGTCCAGGCTGCGGAGATCAGAGCAGGGATCAAAGGGAATAGTGAGAAATGAGAAAAACAACAACAGTGCCAGTAACGTGAGTGAGGAGGGAAACTGGAAGAATGGCTTCGTGTTTCCCAGAGACGCCGTTTTCAGCAGAGGCCCCCTGATTCCTTCTTCGTCCTTAGAGGGACGTCCTCGGACCAGCATGAAGGATGAAGCCAGCAAAAGGCGCACGGGACGCAGGCCCTCCTTTCCTCCCCTCCCCTCCCCGCCTCCGCACTCCAGCCCTCCCTCGGGTTCCCACCCCTCTCTCTTTCTCCCCCCCACCTCCCGCCGCCAGCACCGCCTCCTGCCCCTCCCCTCCCTTCCCCCTCACCCCGTCCCCTCCCCTCCCCTCCCCTCCTCCCTTCTGGGGTGCTGACTTTCCCGGCTGCCACGTCTCACTGATGACATCACCAGGGCCGCTCGGCCTCAGCCAATCCGCTAGGGGGAGTCCGAGCAAAGTCCTAGCCAGCGAGTCAGCGGGGAGGGGCGCGGGGAGGAGCGGAGGGCGGCGGTGAGGGAGCGGGGAATGGGGCGGGAGACAGCCCCGCAAGGACGCATGCGCCGAGCGCGCGGGGCTTGGCGGGAAGGCGAGTCCCGGCCCCCCAGCCGCTCCGTCCGCCTCCAGCGCCCACGGAAGGGCTAGCGACACGCTCTCCCGGCATGCCGCGCGGCGCGGCCGCCTCTGGGCTATGTAAAAGCCCCTCCGTCTCAGGCTTCCCTATTTCCTGGTTCGCCGGCGGCCATTTTGGGTGGAAGCGATAGCTGAGTGGCGGCGGCTGCTGGTTGTGTTCTAAAGGGGACGGAGTAAGGGGGGGAAGACGTTTGATCTCCCGGAACAGCCTATCTCATTCCTCTCCGACTACCCGGGGCGGCGCGGAGAGTCGGGTCGGCGGCTGCAGCAGCAAGGGCGGCGGTGGCGGCGGCGGCAGCTGCAGTGACATGTCCAGCATGAATCCCGAATAGTGAGTGCAGGGGAGCGCCGGCCGGCCGGGCCGGGGGGGCTAGCTCCGGAAGGCTTCTTGGAGGGGGGCGAGGGGGGCCGGGGAGGGGCCGGAGGGCCTCGGCCGGGGTGAGGCGAGGGTGACGGGGCGCGGGGAGAGGCTGGCGGCGGGGAGCCGGGCCCCATTGTCTGACGGAGGAGGGGCGGCCTCGGGGAGGGGTCGGACCGGAGGGGCGAGCCGCCCGGGCCTGGGCCTGGGCCGGGTCCGGGCGGAGGCCCGGGGTGTGGGGCTGGTGCGGAGGCGCCGTGGGCTGAGAGGGAGGGGTGGGGCGGCGGGGCGGTGGGCAGGGGTAACTTCTGGAGGCTGTGACTTTCCAGGTGTGTTTCTCGGGGGAGAGGGCGGTGGGAGCGCGCCGCCGGCGGGGGCCCTGTCAGCCCCGGGGCCCGCTCCCCGCGGAGCTGTCAGAACCGCCTGGGTGGGGACCGGTTTACTTGTAAAAATCTCGAGTTTGTTGGCTCTCTTTCCCACCTTCTCAGCCAGATTGCCGGTGGAAATGTGGATTTTGTTTTTGTTTTTGTTTTTTTCAGGGCTAAGTGGGGTGGATGGTGAGAAGCGTTTTTAAAATTTTTAGTTTTCTTTTTAAAATTTATTTTTAGTTATTTCTTGGAGTTCTTTAAGAATTCACCACTGCCTTCCTAAAAAGCCTAGGCATTTGTGATTTTTTTTTTTTTTTTTTTTTTTTTTTTTAGAGGACACTTAAAGTCATTTTGTATTGTGGAGGTCAAGAAAGAGAAAGACTCATCTTAGGAACATGTATTGTGATATTACCAAATTAATTAAAGGATGACTTTGCTGGGAAGTTGGAAGAGAAGCTGAATGGGTCCTAGGCTAGATCAGGAGGTTTTGGATTACCTACTTGAATGTTTGCAGATAGGGAATGAGGTTCCATGACGTGTCATGAAAAGTTAATGCATTTCTTTTTCTTGCTTACTCAAGAAGTCACCACAGCAGATGTGACACACCTGGCACTTTTCCTAGGAACTGCTGCTGCTCACTTTCCTTGGGAAAACTTTGTTTGGGCTCTCCTAATGGCCCCTAACAAAATCCTCCTCCGGTTTGTATATATAAGTTAATGAGTAATTGGAGGAGATTTAATTGGTATTCCTCTTCAGTGTCAGAAGGCTTTGGAGAGACGGAGAACTTTTTTTGTTTTTGTTTTTAAAGCAAAAGTCAGTATTTGTTCTAGAAGTTGAGTTTATTTGCCGCTTTGGTCAATTAGACATTTCCCCTTCAAGGTCCACCCATCAGTTTAGCTGACTGTCATATGTGTGTCACATGGTTCTTGCAAAATGCATTCTGACTTCAAGTTTTGTAATATTGTGGTTTGATGCTGAAATGTCCCCTTTTTTTTGTACTAAACAGAAGCCATAGTATTTTATTAAAATACTATAAACTTTTAAGAAGTTGAGGATAGTGCTCTCATAGTGCCATAGTTGCCATGTTGGCAGTTTTTAGATATCTTTATAAAGGGCTCCAGGGACAAAGTTTGTTTTGCATAGTTGGGCAGAGTTGAACTTGAGGTTAGTTAGTAGTTTTCCTGGCAACAATAAAGTACATGGATTTGCCACTTTCTGGAGGTTTGTAAACCTCTTGTGTTCAGGAGGTTTCTTATATTTGCTACATATATTTACTGTAAGTAGATTTTGAAGATTAATTTAATAGAACATGACAAGTTATTTAGCCTCTGAATTTGTTTCTCCTTAAAAATAGGGTAATAGGAATAGCTGTGGGTTTGAATGCATATAAAAGAAATTGGAAAACTAAGAGCACACTGAGTGGTGTACATCACTATCATGTAAGACATTCTAGTAGTTCTAGGATTTAGGAATGTAATCCTTACTCCCAAGGAGCTAATAATGGCATATAGAGAATAGGTTGTATGTATGGCAAATGCCCATAGATATAGCAGGTTGGATTCGAACAACAGCATTTCAGAGGAGGTTAGAGGGCTGTGGTTGGCTCGTTGGGTTCAGGAAGGCTTTGTAGGAAAGAGACCTGTTCAGGAATTATTAGCAATTGTTTTGGAGAAGCAGAGGATTTTCAAGGGATAAGGAGAATAAACAGCAAGGATTGTAATTCTTAAATATGGTGCCAAATTATCCTTCCTTTTCATTCTCTGGATTAATGGCCTCAACAGAACCAAACCCAGACACCATGTATATTTTTCTGGCATCAAGTGTGCTAAAACCTGGCCTACTGTATTTATATTCTATATTGTATCTAGTAAAATAATCTAGGAGTTTTTGGAAAACCTTTGGAACAGCATCAGTAAAAATTACTTGAGGTGAGAGAAAGTGATGGATATTTTGTTATGAAGGATCACAAAGGCAACTAGCAGGCAGATTTTTAGCAATCTGACTTGAGCAGTTTCCTTTGTCTTTAATGAAATTTGTTATAAAAGTGATAAGAAAAAAATGGCAAATAGAGAAAAAAATGAAACAATCCATTTATCACCTCCACCCAGGTCCATTTACTTAAACACTTTGTTCTAAATTTTTAAAGTCTTACATTTTTTTCTTAAATTAAGATTTGTGTTGGTTGACATAAGATTACTTGTTGATAAAGTTTTATTACTGAGTGCTTTTATTTCATAATTTTCAAGTTGTAAGTTCTTGGTTTTAGAGTAAGAATAAACTATATCAATCACTGATTAAATTTTAAGCTGTGCCTTTGACTCCTTTCCATGTTATTTGTCTGGTTTGGGAGCATTGACAACCCTGAGTTATCTTTGTGGTAGAAATTAAGGGTAACAACTGACTCACTTGAATTTCAAGTACAAACAAAACAAAAAGCAACTGGAAGTGGAATCTGAACAGTGGGAAAGTAGATGGAAAGTGACAGGGCTTTCTTTTTTTTTTTTTTTTTTTTTTGAGATCTGAAGAAAGATTTTGATTTCCTGAGCTAGGTAGTGAAGCAGGCAGTGATTATTTCAGCACACTGGTTAAGAAATATTTAACATTATTGTCATGCCAGAAACATTTTTCCTAATCCATTAGTTTCTAGTGGGCTTTTTAGTGTCAAGAAAATCATTTTGGCTACTTCATCTATAAGGAATGTGTTAAGAATAAAGTACCTGTCATGAATATACCAGTTAATTGCAGAAAAATGTTTATAGTAATTACCTTGATTTTAGTTTTCACTTGCTTTTTAAAATGACTCCAGATGATATTGAGATCATGACTCAAGATTTAATCATTCTTTCAAGTGTTGTTCATCTGTCATGGAAGACTCAAGAAACAAGACTTTTTTTTTGTTGTCAGCATTATGCTTTAAATAAATCTTTTTTTAAATACATATTTTTAATTGATTTTATAGAGAAGAGGGGAGAGAGATAGAAACATTGACGAGAGAGAAACATCAATTGGCTGCCTCCTGCAAGCCCGTCCTGAGGAATGAGCTGCAACCCCTGGTATATGGCCTGACCTTCGACCTCTTGGTTCATGGATCAAAGCTCAACCATTGAGCCACACCAGCTGGGCTGAATAAATCTATCCTTTAAGTTAAGGATTTAAAACAAAAGCAGGTTAATTAGGTCTTTTATCTATCTAACAGTATTTTTCACTAATGAGTACCGGTATATATCATTACTGGTTTTCATATAATTTTTAGAATTTTTTTTATTAGAAAAGCTGAAAACCTAAAAGTAAGTGGTTATTTTGTTGGTTGTCTTGACTTTTGGTAGTGTTGGTAGAAGTTTCAGGAATTCAGAAAAGTTTAGAGAAGAAAAATAACCAGTATTTTCACTATCAGTATGATTTCTTAATGTCTGTAGAGAGAATCAACATATGTAATTCTTTGGGTAATGTAAGTTTCCAATAGCTATATAGAATCTTCACAAAATACATCCTAAGGCTGAAACTGATTTGGCTCAATGGACAAAATACATCCTAAGAGTTTTGTGTCAGTGGATGATCTTGTAGGATAATTTATTTATTTTAATATATTTTTATTGATTTCAGAGAAGAAGGGAGAGGGGGAGAGAGAGAAACATCAATGATGAGAGAAACATTGATCGGCTGCCTTCTGCACGCCCCTGAATTGGGGATCAAGCCTGCAACCTGGGCATTGCCCTTGACTGGAATCGAACCTGAGACCTTTTAGTGTGCAGGCTGATGCTCTATCCACTGGGCCAAACCAGCTAGGGCATTGAAGGATAATTTAAAGATCTGAAACTTTGCTATGAAAAATTTTCTGTTCCTTTTCATCATAATTAAGTTAAAACGAGATGTTGACAGTTTCTTACATATTCCAGCAAATAAATAATTTAAAAATATATTAAAAAAATAAAAATATATTAAAGATGGACGAACTTGAGGATCAAGTGTTCTTTTGCCAACTCTCTGGTTGGCTTTTAAAGAGAATTTTGCTTTCTGAGTAATTTTTAAAATTGTTTTAAATACATATATTTAAATATATTTTTTATTGATTTCAGAGAGGAAGAGAGAAGAGAGAGAAAGAAACATCAATGATGAGAGAGTATCATTGATTGGCTGCCTCTTGCCTGCCACACACTGGAGACTGAGCCTGTAACCTGGGCATGTGCCCTTGACCAAAATTGAACCTAGGACCCTTCAGTCCGCAGGCTGACGCTCTATCCACTGAGCCAAACCAGTTAGGGCTGGTCATGTACTCTTAGGATGTACCCTGTGGGCCTGCTGCCTATATGCATACATACTCATAATATTTTGCATAAAGTTGCAATCTGTTCACACTGACTGAGCCTATTCATGAACCTCAAGTTACGAATGCCTGATAAAGGAGATTGGAAATAGAAAAAAGAATGTTTACCACCATTCTTTTAAAATATGGAGACCTGAGTGACAAAAGTTTTACTTTAAATCTGGTATTCTGAAGTAACTAGTTTTAAAATGTGAGACTTGTTTGGGCATGGCTTTCTTTTGATGACCTAGTCTATGCTTTTCTTTTCCTTTCCTTTTAAAAAAGTTAAAATTTTATTTTTA